TTTCCTTTCCTTTCCTTTCCTTTCCTTTCCTTTCCTTTCCTTTCCTTTCCTTTTCTTTTGTTGAACATGGAGGGAGGGTCCTGAGAGTAGAGCACTTCTTGTCTTCACTATCTAAAAAGTTTTCTCTCATCTCTTATCCCAGTGAACAAATCTAGGCAGGGAATTGGAGAAAGTGCTCTGTTTGAAAATGAGGTGTCATACAATGTGCTAAGCTTTGAAAGCTCAATGACTTACAGCTTCATTAGGTCATAGTGCTGGATATTTTCATGGTACACATTCTTAAAATAAATAAAAGCATCTCTGTGCCTCTAGTACTATCTATTTGCCAGTGACCAAAGTCAAGACTGTGTTGCAGATACAGTTTTTAAGGCTGTTTATTCTCTGCTCACCTTCACTCTGCTCAGCTGTCCCTGAAGGCCTTCTGGAGCAATGACATAGATGGGAAGGCCGAACTCAACTTTAGGCCTTTGCCAAAGGGTAAGGCATCTTCTTTTAAACAAGAACACTTAGAAGACTTAAGGACTTAATAGACCTGTTATAATTGTGTCTTTTTTCCCTGGAAACACATTTTTTTTTTTTGGTAAATGGGTCAAGAAAGTACTTGCTTTTCATGTCTGTCCTTCATGTTTCTGACTTCCTCTCTTCCCTTTCACTTGTATTTGAAGATTGTTCCACTTCACTGCATTAATGATCCATTGCTTCAAGTGAGCAATGCTAAGCTCACTAAATAGAATAATGTTCAGTGAAGTAAATTTTCTAGCAGGTGGTCCATGTTTTACATATATATATTACATATCACATGAAATATATATTATATACCACATTATATTATATATTATATATAATATGTTATATATTTTATAATTATATAATATAATTATATATAATTAATGATACAATGTGCGAATTATATATTATATAATCTATAATTATATATGATCACATATTAAATTATATATGGTACATATATTAATCATTTTTATTACTGTATATGTAGTATATAGTAATAAGTATTTTACATAGAGAAAGAGAAGTATTATCTTTATGATGACTATATTAATGACATATTTGATTTTAATTTTACCTATATTTATTTAGTACATTGGAGGATATGGCCAGACACATTGAAGGCAGAAGACAAATTTCAAGAGTTGATTTCTTTTTCTACTGTATTGAGTCAAGAGATAGAACTTAAGTCCTCATGCTTGGCAGAAAGTACCTTTATCTTCTGAGCCATCTCACTGAATCTAATGATATATATTTTCTCCTTTGGATATTATACCACTAGATTTCTAATATACTAATTATTTCTTACTGTATCTTGGAGACACATTTTAAAATGATATTTATTTAGTACAGAGCCACTCTTCTAAAAATAGTTTCTCAGACTGGGTTATTAGCTATTACTTTTGTATGATTTGGATATAAGTTACAAAGGAAAGAAAACAATTTTGATCATCATCCAAGATATACATACATAAAAATACAAGGCTAAAAATACATTAATTACTTTTCTATTGCTGTAATAATACACTATGATCAGGACAACTTATAAATATAATGTATTATTGAATTTATGGGTCCAGATAGTGAGGGTTCATGATGGTGGTGTGAAACATGCTGGAAGGAAAAGCTGAGAGCTCACACTGTAAGAAGGAGGCTTAATTGACACACTTGGTGATGCTAGGGGCCTTCTGAAACCCCAAATCGGCCCCAGTGACACACCTTCTGACCACGTTTCCTAATCCTTCCTTAAACAGTCACTAATTTGGGACCAAGTACTGAAATATATGAGCCTATGAGGTCCACTTTCATCCAAAATGCTATAATACATGAATTGTACAGTAAAATTATTACTGATAGGACTACTCATGTGTGCACCATATGTTACTTTTCTGGGACTAAACTAGTCTTTTGTATTGGCTTTAAAAGTTACTTGAAAATACTGAGTTTTCTGTAGTTGTATGTACAACGGTTGTGCTATTCCTTTCAGAAATTAGTGTAACATGAACTTTATACCTCCATTGTAGTGTTGCATTTACTCACTACTCTATTATTAATATTTTTTAAGGCTCCGCCATATAGTGGTTTAAATGAAATCTACTGTTGCACTCAGATCCTGACCCCAGGCTAACCAATATTCTTTTTTTTTTAAAGACTTACTTATTCTATATATGTGAGTACACTGTCACTGTCTTCAGGCATACCAGAAGAAGGCATCAGAACCCATTACAGATGGTTGTGAGCCACCATGAGGTTGCTGGGAATTGAACTGAGGACCTCTGGAAGAGCAGTCAGTGTTCTTAACTGCTGAGCCACCTCTCCAGCCCCTCACTACTGTATTTAATAACAAACAAATAATTTAATAACAAAACAATGACAGATATGTTTGCACATGCCTGTAAACTTACTGTTTAGGATGTTGAGATAGAATGTTTATGATTTACAGGTGACTCTGAGCGACATGAGATTCTGTCTTTAAATAAACACATAATTTCCATATGTATATATGAGAACAATATATTTCATTTAAAATTACATATATATCTTTCCACTTATATTATAAATGCTTAAGAGTTAAATTATATCTTCATTTAACCTAACTTTTATAATACATAAATACTATTAAATGATACAGTCTTTAATTGTGATTTTCTACTGAAGTTTAAAGGATTGCATATCTTAACTATTGGAGAAATAGTGATTATTGAAAATATTTTAAGAAACCAGCTATCTAATTAAGTACCATTTAAAATGTGTATCCAAATGTAGCAATAGATATTGGAAATCTAGTGGTATAAAATATGCATATTGGGGTCAGATACTATTAAGGATAAAGTATAGAATGTGCACATTAAAAACATCTTCTTTAGTTAATATCTAAATGGTCTTTATTGCTAACAAATAACACAGTCTTTAGTTGTAATTAAGTTTCTATTGAAGTTTAGGGCATCATGGTGCATCTTATTGGAAACAGAGTGAAAGTTAAATGTTTATTAAAAATTCAAATTAGGTTTTAATGTAGTTCTTTTGAACAACTTTTAAATAAAAATAAAATAAACAATTAGAAAATTTAAATCTGCCAATACATTATGTTGTTTTTCTTTTTGCTGTAATCTCTAAATTTATAATCTCTTTCATCTTTTTCTAAGGCCAGTTTATAGAACAGCACAGGAACATAACATTGTGTGGAAGATATTGAAGACTATTCCAGGATTAACCTCTCAACTTAGCAATGAGCATCTGAAATTCCTGAGTAAGAAAGTCATTTCTGAAAGCTGGATCAAAGGTAGCACAGGTACTTGACTAACATAGAGCATCTGGCAGAATGGAATGCATAAATGTATGGCAACTTGGTGATTGTTAAGTGCTTATAATTTTACTTGGCATGCTAAAATATACTTCGTGGAGATAGTCTACTTTCAAGGACTGCTATTTGACCAACATTTCACACTTTAGTAAGATTTATAGCATATTGTCTTAATTAAAGTTACTATTGCTCTGAAGAGACACCATGACCACAGCACATCTTATAAAGGAAAACATTTAAATTGGGCTGGTTTACATTTCAGAAGCTTAATCCATTATCACCATGGTGGTAAATATGGCGGTATGCAGCCAGATAAGGTGCCAGAGAAGGAGCTGAGAGTTTTACATCTTGATCCATAGGCAGCAGAATGAAATTATCATACTAGGCCTACCTTGAGTTTATGAGACCTCAAAGCCTACCTCCACAGTGATATATTTTCTCCAATAAGGCCACATCCACTTCAACATGGTCACACATTCTAGTAATGTTACTCTCTACAGGCCCAGGGTTAAAACACATGAGTCTATGGGAATCATTCCTATTCAAATTACCACACCTATGTTTGTGTACTTGCAATTTGAGTAAGTATCCAAATTACACACAGTATCCCTGGAAACACAATGGGCTAGACTTCTTGTTCTTCAGGTCTTGAATAGAGCCTGAGGTATATTTATAATCATTTGTTGATGGCAGAAACACACAGTACAAATTTATTAGCAATCCACAGCAGTCTTTCACCATTGGTTAAAATGCTTGCCAACCTAGTCGTAGATATGACTCTAGACATAATGTTCATCTTCTGTCTCTTTACTATGGATGTAAGAACTACTTCAGTATAAATGCATGCATCTGAACTGTTGAAGGGAAGGAAATTAAGACATTGTTTTTGTGTCAAGAAATTTAGTTTCTGTTCCTTACAGTAACAAAATGATAGCATTGTTTACAGGTGTGGATCTCCAAGGCATAAACATATCACATAGAGGAATTCTGCTTGTAAATGAATTTTAAACACACTTCAGCCCTCTAAACTTGTCCTCTGTATTTGCTACTGTTTGTGGAAAGCAGTTAACAAGGAACCTGACATTTAAAACCAAATTGAAATCTTGGAGACTCATGATTTTTGAAAGATTTACATAATTTGAGGGTTTTCCCTCAATGGTTTTCTCTCATAATTGGCTCCATTTAATCAGTGTTTAGTGGTGGAAAATAAATCAAAGGAGTTTGCCACGATTAAAATGATTTTAAGGCACAGGGAGAGGGTAACAAATGCTCACTATTTGCTTTGCTATTAGCTTGAGGATAGTAATTAAAAGCTACTTTATATTATGAAATTGTATTTCTAATAATAAAAATTTATGATATAACATAAATGTCCTTCAATAAAAGATTGACAGTCATAAGTTCAATGAAATTGTAGGCACTGGCTGAAAAGAATATGTTGCCATAGTCCTTGGCCCCTTGGGATGGTCATTGGGGATAGAGGATATGAAGACTTGGAATCAAAAACACCAACTCTGGTAATAAGTGGATCTAGAATGACATTTATAACTTACATACATTATTTAAATGTATGAAAATACATTCATATATTTAAAAATATAAGTGGATCTAGAATGACATTTTAAACTTACATACATTATTTTTTCTCCTTAGTGGTGAAAAGTAGAACTGCTGGGGGCTGTTAATGGTTTGGGCATGGTTCAAATTTTACAAAACAGTCAGTCTACAGTGATTGAAACCTTTGTCTATCTGTGGCCTAATTAATAGTATTGGGAGGTAGTAGAACATTTGAGAGGTGTGTCCTAGTAGAGGATTCTTTTAAGTGATTTTGCTATTATATAATTTATGTGCTATTCAATGAGTTCTTGTAGGGGATTATGATAGTAGTAAGCATGGCTGTGTTAACACTGACCTCTCTTTGCTCCTGTTAGATATTTGATTGAGAGAGTGTATCTCCACAATATAGCTTTACCATCAGCCAAACAATCAAGATATGTGATCTTTGGTTCGTACCTACCAATTATGGCCAAAATGTACCCTTTCTCATTACAAAGCCAAACAGCTCAGATCTTTATTGAAATAAAGAAAGCTAATATAAGATCAGTAAAGACAAATAATTTTATTTTTTTTCTACATGTACGGATGGGCTAATTCATACAATAATTTTAGAGTCATGTGTAATTTAATTAGAGATTTTTTTCTAGAAAGTTCTACAATTAAATATAGGAAGAAACATTTATTCTGATGGCATGATAAGACTTGTTTATAATTATTAATAAAATACCAACTTTTACAGGATTATAAGAAATACAAGATTTCAGCTTGTATCTTCTAGTTCTTTAAAAATTTATAAGTCTCTGTTTTTCTTCACCTATCCGTATTCAGATCTCTTGGAATTTTTAAGACACGTAGATCTAACTGCTCAGATGTTTCCCTATCAAAGTGTCAGCTCATTAGGTTCACAAACTTTGAAGTTCTCTTTGTTCATCCACCTTAAGAAAAAAGTCTAGCTAGGTGTCTGCTTCTCTCCATTTACTTTATTTGCCTGTGTGCTTTTCTCTGTCTGCTGTGATTTAAAGTGCTCCCTCATGCAGACCCTCTTCTCAGGCTGCTGACTTTCAATCTGCCACAGAGGCTCATTTCTCTAGTGAAACTCTGCACAGCTGTTTGTACCTTCTGGCTTTTTTTTATTTTAATGGCCATTACTTCTTTTGAGCTACATTATTTAAGGAAGTTTCCTGAATATTTCCATCATCTAATGGCCTCTTATACATTCAGTTTCTGCAAACAAAATATGAAACAAGGAAACATTATTAGAACTTCAGTAAATCAAGCATATATATGCAATTATGGAATTAATCATATTATCTTATATTATTATTTACTATAAAATTACCATAACTGAAGATAGCTTATATTACCTGAACCAAATTACTGAAAATAAGGGATGGAGGAGTTGGCAGTCGGTTAAAATTGTGAGTCAGGTGTTGATCTGCAATTTTTCTCCAGACAAGGGATGATGCTATCTCACGATGCAGCACTGAAGCAGAGAGAAACAATTATCAGTCAGCCTGGGGATTTTCTGCATTCTGCGGTGTACTGTGTTGTAAGGCTGTCGTACATAGCAGAATAGGTGTGTTTCATGCATTTTAAAATTTCATTTATTTTTTATTTATGTAGCTTTATCTTTGTTCTTATGCTAAGAAATAAAATTTATACAGACAACAAAAGAAGAAAAATGTACTTCTATGTTAAGTTCTTAAAGGACATTATATATGTGTCTAAGATCATATAGAAAAACCCTCTACACCATAGTTTAATTAATAAATAAAATACTGATAAATTAATAACCATCACATATTAATATTTATAAAATAAATGAGCAAAAGTTCTTGAATGATAAGTGTGGTACATTTTAAAAAAAGGCTTGTGCATTTAAAGGTGTTTTATATAATCACCAAAAATGAATAAAATGACAAATTGTTATACATCTAATATTCATACATACATATTTATAAATATATATAAAATTTATAGATATAAATATGAAACTATTTTATTTGTAATTAAATGAAAATATTCCTCAAACTAAATAATTGGTGTTCCAATAACTATCATCAGATGAAAATACTGAAAGTCAGAAATTCTTTTGTACCGGGTAACTTAAACACTATAGCAGAGCTTTAACTGTGGAGTTTTGACACTGGCCTTCAGAATCCCAGGACCTCTTATGAGCTATGACTTGCTGTACAATCTGTACATAGCACCATTTGACATTTTACTAGCCTCAGAAAAGATTGATTTTCTTTCTTTCTTTTTTTCTTATTTTGCTTGTTTTTTCAAGACAGGATTTCTCTGTATAGCCCTGGCTGTCCTGGAACTCACTCTGTAGACCAGGCTGGCCTCAAACTCAGAAATCACCTGCCTTTGCCTCTGACATGCTGGGATTAAAGGTGTGTGCCACCACTGCCCAAGAAAAGATTGATTTTCAAAACACTAAGTCAAGTTACTACCTGAACTTTGCCAATAAGTCAAAAAAGATAATGCATAGTCACAGATTATGTGTATTGCTATGAAACAGATCCTTAAATCTTCATTTAATCTTTTCCCTCTGTAACAAGCTTAGATGGAAGGATAAGATCTAAATATTGCAATCTTTACAATTTATTTTAACATAATTTTTCTTAACATCACTTTTAATCAGTCGTTTTCAAACATGGATGGTTTAATTAGGAAGTCCTTTCATGAAGATCAATCTCTCAAGATTGCTGGAAACTGCTTTCATTCTTTATTCTGTGACTTCTGTCCCTCTGTTCTAGTAAAGTCTATCCCAAAAGCTTCTCTCTGTTTCCCTTTTCTACATGAAAGCTTTCATTCTTCCTCAGGCCAGAGATTCAGCTCCAATAGACATGGTTCTGAGTCTCATATGCCATGGCCCTGAGCTTACTGACATTGGTGGCTGCATTGAGTTCTCTCTTTTGTAGCATACCTGTCCGGGAAATTGGAAAACTTACCAGCAAACTGCTTGCCCTTCACTAGATAGAGACATAGATATTTCTCTATGAATTATTTCACACATGAAGTTTTAAAAACATTTAAATTTAAGCTACTTCCTTTCCCCTAAAGTGATTGAGTTCATTCTTTGTTCTTTCCTTCTTTTCTTCCTTCCTATCTTCCTTCCTTTCTTCTTTCCCTCCTTCCTTCTTTCCACCCTCCCTCCCTCCCTCTCTTCTTCCTTCCCTTCCTTCCTTCCTTCCTTCCTTCCTTCCTTCCTTCTTTCCTTTTTTCCTTCCTCTTATTCTCATAGACTAGTTCAATCCTCCATCCATTTCTTCTCATACAGATACTTCCATCAACTCCTCACAGGTCTCCCCTTCCTGTTTGTTTCCAGAAAATATGTTTGATTTGTCATTTTTGCCACACGTATTTTTGACTATTAATGAAATAGTATCATAGGAAATGCTGTAAGCTTTTAGGATTTTAAAACA